AAGAAGAAGAAGAAGAAGAAGAAGAAGAAGAAGAAGAAGAAGAAGAACAACAACAACAACAACAACAACAACAACAACAACAACGGGATTTTCAAATACAGACCATCATCACAACACACCAGATATCACAGTTGTCGAAAACCGAAGTGTACAATTTATTGATATTGCTCTTATCAGGGGACGCCAGAGTTGAAGAAAAAGAAGTCATGAAACATCGTGACCTGGCCACTGAAACTACGTGATCACTGCCATTGTTAAGTTAGTCACACAGTCATTAAATGAATTTTGCATCCCCATTGACTTTGCTTGTCAGGTCACCAAACAGGGATCATGTGATCCCAGGACACTGCAACCATCATAAATATGAATCAGTTGCCAAGTGTCTGAATTTTGATTATATGACCCTAGGGATGCGGCAATGATCATAAATGTGAACAAGTCATAAGTCATTGTTTTCAGTGCTGTTGTAACTTCACCCAGGTCTCTAAACAAATGGTTGTGAGTTGATGATTAACTGTATTCATAGAATGAAGCAAGAGTAAGCGTGCCTTATAATTATTTGACCCAGCAACTGTTGTGTCATCTTTCCTCATGTGTTGGGGGTACTCAACCATCAAAAGCCAAAGGTCTTATCTCAAACAATAATTTCATCTTTTATTATAGTTACAGACCAGAGTTGTATCTTATTTCCTTGTAGGTGTTCTGACCAAGGCTTCCAGGACCGTAATTGTGCAAACGCTTATTTTAAAAACAAGTCTTATTTTATTGCAACACTGGGAATTATTTTCATTCCCAGCTGATAATGAATCTCAAACAGTCCCTCAAGATAAGTGCCCACCTTTCTTTCTTGTGAAGTGCTGCCAATAACAGAAGTGTCAAATGAACTAGAAAAGAAATCAACCGAAGTACAAAGAGCTTCAGGAATGAATCTGAACCAAACAAACGGCTTGGCTTCCTGCAAAGGTTTCATCACCTTTGCCTGTCCTTTATACCTTAGGGAAGGGGCAATCACCTCCCAGCCTTAACCTCTTTTGTTTCAGCTGCTCTCGCCTTCTAGCAGCTCTGCGCACACGTGCACTGGGAACAGGCTCCGCTTGTTCCTCTGCCTCGCTGCTGCCAGACTCCAGAGGCTCTGGAGGCAGCACCCCACTCCCAGATGTTCCTGGCTGCATCTCTGCATTGGATGCAGGACCCTCATCTGAGTCCTCTCCAGACTCCCAGACTGATCCCCTTTCTTCCCCAATGTTCGATTCCGTTGCCATCCGCACAGGCTGCCAGCGAACCACAACAGTAGCTCCTTCTGCAAATTCAAGGCCTTGAAAAATCAGAATTTTAAATCTCAGAGAAGAGAGGGCTCTAACTCTTGCCAAATTACAGTTCTCAGCACTCCTGAGCGGCATTCCTCGAACTGAGAAATCTGATGTTGTAATTAGCGGTGGTCAAACCCTTTCTATTTTAAAGAACACAAAATGTACCCATGTACAGAGATGGATTGCTGCATCTTCATGGCAACCAAAACAACTGGCTTTTTTCAGGAGAAAAAGAAACATGCTTAGATCATACCCTTTGTGTAATATTTTCTAAAGCAGAATTCTCGATTGGGGCTTAGTCTATAAACAGACACTGTTGAAATGGTGTTGCGGTTAAAGTCGCTGAGCTTGTCAGCTGGAAAGCCAACAGCCTGGGTTTGAGACCTGAGTGCTGCATGACACACTGAGCTCCCATTCATTGTTCCAGCTTCTCTCAATCTAGCAGTTCAAAAGCATGCAAATGGAACAGCTGCAAGGTATTGGTTGGGCTACTCTAAAGAAAAGAAGAATTGGGGGGGGGGGGAGAACAGGATAGCAGTATTCAAATATTTGAGGGGCTGCCCCAAAGAGGAGGGGGTCAACTTATTCTCCAAAGCACAGAGGACGGGACAAGAAACAATGGTTGGAAACTAATCAAAGAGAGAAGCAACCTGGAACTAAAGAGAAACTAACAGTGAGAACAATCAGTCAGTGGAACAGCTTGCCTGCAGAATTGGTGGACGCTCCATCACTGGAGGTTTTTAAGAAGAGTCTAGACAGTCACTTATCTGAAATAGTATAGGTTCTCCTGCTTGAGCAAGGGGCTGGATTAGAAGACCTCCGAGCAGCTCATTCTATTCTATTCTATTCTATTCTATTCTATTCTATTCTATTCTATTCTATTCTAT